GTGTTTTACTTTCATGGTTTGATTTCAGTTTAAAAGCAGGCAAATGAAATATAGTAACTGGACGCTAGGGGTGTAACGGTTCACAAACATTTCGGTTCGGTACGTACCTCGGTTTTTTGGTCACGGTTCGGTTCGGTACGTTTTCGGTACAGCAGAATTTTTTTTCACAAAATAAAACATATATATATATATTTTTTATTATTATTAAACTGTGAATAATGTATTCACTCAAATAAATACAAAATATAATAAAATAAACATTAAGGTGCAGCATTTCGATTAACTGAAATAATCTGTATTTGAACTTTACTGTAGGCTACTAGTACTCACAAAACATAAACTATTAGTTTTGGGTTTTTTATTTTTTATTAAACTGCGAATCTTCACTAAAAAAAAATATAAAATAAAATAAACATTAAGGTGCAGCTTTTCGATGAACTGAAATAATCTGTATTTGAACTGTACTGTACTAGTTCCTAAGCAGCCAGCTTGACATTAGGACTTGCTTGTCATTGTATTTTCATGTTTTTTTAAAGAAAGATGAACTTGTCCACATTGCTTGCTGAAAGGGCAGATCTGCTGGCACTAACAATGTCTCCTGCTGTGGAGAACACCCTCTCGCTAGGGACAGAGGTAGCAGATACAGCCAGGTAGCGCTTTGCTAACATGGCAACATAAGGATATTTGGCGTTTGTAATAGCTTTGGCTCGGTCTGAACTCTCTGCGAGTGGTGGAGGATTACATGCTAGTGGGAGTTGGGTTTGCACTTCAGTCTGTTTTCTTTTGGTACCGGTGATATTCACGTTCGGGTGATGCCTTTTCAAATGAGTGTGCTAGCTTGATGTATTGCCAGCCGCGTAACCAATTTTAGTTGAACAATGCCGACAAACAGCTTTGGTTCGGTCCACCTGTCTTTGTCCGTCATCCTTGTACGTAACTGCGAAACCAAAATGTTCTCAAACCGGAGACTTCAATGATGCTGGAGGATTTTCGAGCTCAACTTTATCTGCGTTCGCCATTAATTTTCGACAGTTCGTCAAATTACTGACTACATTTGAACGCATCCCTCTGACCAGCTCTCATAGTATGCCTCTCATCCAATTAAATGACTTGCTCGCTCTATGACGCGTTGAACCCAATGTGAGCAAATTACTCTGAATGCTGCGACGCAGCACCTGAGATTACTTCCAAAAAGTTGTTCACGTTCTCAATTTTTTACGTTTAACGTTATATTCGTTCGGTACACTTCGGTACACACCTGTACCGAACCGAAGGGCCCGTACCGAATAATTTCGGTACGGGTACGTGTACCGTTACACCCCTACTGGACGCTGATATAAGCCACTAAAGGAACTCTTTCTATCTACATTCGATAGTTAGAAATTCACCATTTAAGATTGTATACTCAGAAATGGTTGTTGCCACTAAATTCTCTAAATCCCCAAGTGTCGTGAGCTGGAAAACATTTTGTAATTTTAAGAACAGTTATTTAATAACATTTAACAGAGTTTTCAAGTTTGTCGTATCTTTGACTTGGTCTGTACAGGGGCTGCAATGCTATTTCTACCACACACAAAATCACACACTTCATTGATTACACATTCGTTAAAATAAAAAACTGAGTTGTTTTATTTAGACTGGTTTGAATGAATATTGGAATGTTAACGTTATTATTATTATATTGTCTTTTTTGTACTTTTGTACTTGAGAGCCTTGTAAGGCGCCTTTTTATATATACAATGTAGTATTATTATAATATAAAGCTGAGGGAGGTCAGTATGCTTACCATTGCCTCTCTTTGTGTGTTCCAGTATCTTTGGCAATGAGGGCCAGGATGCGGAGGACGTGGTGTACATCAACTGGCTGAGCATGGTCCGAGCTGGACTGTTGGGCCTGGAGTTCTACACACCTGAGAGCAAGAGCTGGAGACAGGTAATCCGTCTACACACACACACACACTCACTCTCACTCTCTACTTGGACTTATTTGCAGCCCGGTATATTCAATCATGGCTTTGTACATACTTTACTTTGATTTATATACAACTTCAGGGACACATAGATTTGGGGGAACAGTGTTTATAAGAGAAGTCATCATACAGACTATTAGGCATGTGTTACAGCCTGACTGGCTCCGCTGTCTGTGTTGTTTTATAATACAGCTTACACTAAGGCTGTCTCTGTTTATATGAGTGTCGGGACATGTATACAGTTTTGGTCACACGTGTGTGTCTGAAGGCTCACATGCAGGCCCGTTTCGTGATCCTGCGCGTCCTGCTGGAGGCGGGGGAGGGGCTGGTGGGCCTGGAGGAGCTGACAGGGCCAGACGGCAAGCCCGACGCTCAGATCACACTGGACAGGAGCAAGATCCACACTGTGGGCAAGGACGCCATCCACAGGTTCCTCTGCAAACTGCAGGTAAACATACTGTATCCACACTTCTGGCATGCTAATAATGCCCAGACAGCAGATCCTATGTAACAAGTCCAACAAATAAAATAAAAATGCTATGAACAATATGCTGTAGATACATTGTGGTGATACAATATTGATGTATTAAAAATGTGCATTTGCAAAAGACAAATATAATTGCAATGCATTACAGTACACTCCTCTATGGGCCTATTGGAGGTCAAAACTTCACATGGTAGAATAGGAAAATAAATCAGAAATAAGTTGAAAAACATAAAGTAATTTAATATTTATCAAAAGTTATAAAATAAGTTCAATATGTTTTAGACTGTTGATCGGACAGAACAATCAATAATTAGATTTGGTTTTCGGGAAATTGTTATTAATTTGTTTATTTTATTTATTTGTTCTATAGACCAATCAATAACTGGTCATATCAGAAAGAAATCTGCAAATGAATGAATAATGGGGAAAAAAAGAAAAAATGTGACTCCTTTAGTAAAATATAAATTCTATTTCTCAATAACAACTTGCACTTATCAAATAAGCAACGTATCACATTTGATGACTGAGTTGATTTCCCCCTCCTCTAAATCCAACCGTTTTGTAGGTGCTAAAGGCAACAGCCGATGTGGAAGGGGGCCGTGCTCTCTATGACGGATACTCCACGGTAAGCGAAGGCGGTCCTCACAACTTCATGCGCCTCCGGGAGACGGTCCTGCTGAGGAAGGAAGCTCGTAAGATGTTTGTCCAGGCCAACACCAACATCAATGGTAAGCACCTGCATCCCTGCCTGTAAGGGGGCTCTCTTGTGTTCGTTAACTGAGATGCACACATACAAACACTTCAGTCTTTAGACTGTCATTTCATTTGACTGAAACCTGGTTGACAAAACAGGAAGTGATCGCCAAAAAGATGTAATATTTAACCCTGTCAGTAAGTGTGCTCTTTAACATGCATGGATTGTACTCTTACTTAAAAACAAATCTAAAAAACAAATTTGTGAAAATTACACAAGTGAGTTTTAAGACATTTCTGTGGAATAGTTTGTGAAAGAGGTACGATAGTGGTGGTCCAATGGATAGTGAGGTGGGCTGAAGATCGGAAGGTTGTGAGTTCAAATCCCGCCAGGAACACCACCACTAGTGTGCCCTTGAGTAAGGCACTTAGTCCTTAGTTACTCCAGGGAGAATGTCCCTGTGATTGGTAATTGTAAGTCGCTTTGGATAAAAGCGTCAGCTAAATTAAATGTAATGTAATGTACGAAGTGGCCTGAATTCCCTTGTTTGTTTTGAATTAAGTTTAGATTTGCACTACTTCATTCATGTTTTGTTTTTTTATTGGTGAAATCCAGTGACAAAAAAAGTGACATGTAAACAGACGACATAAATAAGGAAGCCATGATGGACAGACATACAATCAATAACATGACAGAGCAGTTACAGTGATGTGTGATCAATAAGTAGAGATTATATCGATTCATTAATACTAGATGATAAGCCGTGGTAACCAATTAACACGATCGACAACGTTAGAAAAACATTGAAAATTGCATTTAAAAAGACATATTCTGTTCAAAATGTTGTGGAATTGTAAATGCAGCAAAGCAATTTTAGACCCTTGAAAGAGTTGTGTGTATTTAGATGGTGTTTGACTGTGTGGTTTCCAGGGGACAGCGTAGAGCTGAAGGAGTACGAAGGCAGCGCGGCAGGTTTGATCTGCTCCTTCACTGAGCGTTTCCAAGACGACGCCGAGAAGCTGGAGGCCGACCTTCTGGCCCTGTGCAAAAAAGACTTCCCCTGCTGGTGTTGATGGATGGTCTGCTTCTTGAGCTTCAATAATACCAACTGTAATCCATTTTTTTATGTATTGTATGTAAGCGCAATTTGAATCCTAATGGATGTCAAGCTAATTGGAAGACGCTTCTGAAGTGAACAAAGTAAAGCTTCATAATATACACTAAAGCCATAGGACAAGAACATATCTGCCAAAGACAACATCCACAGTTTCTAGCCACGACTCAGTCTCAGACCCAATGTCAGGTGCTTCCTTTGAATATATATATATATATACGATCAAATACACATAAGAGCTGATACAACACATCACTCTTTTTGATGCATTTAGGACACATTTTTCTTATCAGAAGTATTGTGAGCTGTCTATTAAACCAATGCTGCCTGACAATAAACATGTTCCTGGGAATAGACGTTTATGCAAGTGGCTGGAGGTAGGTTGCACTTTCTAAATGGCAAGGTTAAAATTGGGTTGAATTGTTTTTTTTTGTCCAGCCTTGCTGTTGACAATTTCAAAGGTATTCACTGTTAAATTACAGATTAATGTTGACTTGACTGAAAAATCATTTTTTTTAAATGGTACCCGGTTGGTCATTGTGGATTACTTGAGTGTATAAAATATTGCTGTGTTTGGAAGGCCTAAAAAATGTGGAAATGTTGTGTTGAATCTGCACAAATAAAATGTGTTAGATATGATGGTTCGTTGTATTTGTTTCATTAGAACCATCAGAGCTGATTTCATTTTTATGAAAGTCTAACCACGTCCTTTTAAAGAAAAAAGAAAAAACGTTGATGCAAACAGATCAAATTAATTTAATGTTTATGGATTACCTAACACAAGGTCTGGAATAAAGCGTCATGTCTGAAATCTCTTCAGAAAATAGTGATATCAGGAAATAAATGGCTTCCTTGGGAGTAGGAAATCAGTCAAACAAATTGGTATGCTTTAGAAAATGTTAGCACAATTATGTATACATAACTTCCAGTTAAAACATGTATAACTACAGGGGTCATCAAGTCTTATTTACTCCAAAACATTTAATTTTACGTGGTGCTTATGTTATATAATCGTTAAAAGTCTAAAATATTTGTTTGCTAGAGGCTTGTTCCATTTTCCTGTTTGGGGGGTAAGTGAGGTGGAGTCTCTGCTGCCCCCTCGAGACTGGTGGAGGAACTGCAACTGTCTGTGTCATTTAGAGAAGCTGCTTTCATCTGTAAAACCAGACCCTTTCCCTCGTCCTCCATCTTTTTGTGCCGTTCCTGATTTGTCTCATCTTCATCCACATTTTCACCTGCCTCCCCCTCCTCTGCTTTTCTCTCTAGTTTTTGCTGATGAAGTCTTAAAATAGTAGCAGGTATATGATAGGCCTCCGCCAGCTGAGGGAAGGAGTTTGAGGGAGAGACTTTAGGGGAAAGAGATGGGGACTGGTAAGGTGAAAGAGAGGGTGAAGCGCTGGGTGAGTCATAGGGAGAGATTGAGAAGGGAGCCTTGGGAGAAAGAGATGGGGATTGATAAGGTGAGAGGGAGGGAGAAGCCCCGGGATATTCATGAAGCGAGAAGGACGAAGATGCTTTTCGGGGAAGTGGAGGCACCATTGGATTGGATGGGGAGAGGTAGGGTGATAGTGATGGAGAATGAGAGAAATTGATCATTGGAGACGGCTGCATGTAGTCTGAGTCTTCTGGAAGATTCTCTATCACCGTTGGTAGCTGAGCTGTGACTCCATCTTCACTTTGGTCTGGTTCCACCTGTGTTTGGCCCTGCTGAGGAGCATCCTGACTCGGTTTCTCTTGTAAAAGTGATCCATTGGGATCTGCCATACCTTGTGTGTGTTTCTGGGCTTTACATTTTTGTTTGGTTTTGGGCATTAGAGGTGGTGGAGGTGGACGGGCGAGCGGGGGCGACAGCAGGGTCGACGACTCTGTGGAAATCCGAATATTGAGGCTGCGTTTGAACATGCGCCGTCTACACAAAGCATTCTGGGACTGCAGGAAAAGGGGGTTGACGAAACAGAGAGCGCCCTGGCCAGAGCCGTAGTCCAGCTCTACGGGGCTGCGAGTCGTGATTGGACAGAACTCATGGAACAGCGTGGGATTGGATACTGATTGTTTGCTGGCGCTGTCTGGTTTAGTGCTGGTCTTGTCTGAGTCGGGCTGGAGAGCTGTATCAGGCTGAGCTGCAGAGGCTGTCTGAGGGGCCGCAGTAGGAGGGACAGGGGTCCCAGGGTCCTCTTTCACCTTCTGGGGCTTAGGGGCCTCTCGTGGCCCTCTGACATTTAGGTGGGAGTTCCAGAATTCTATAAAATAATATATATTTATTGTCATTATAGTTTTTTGGTTGAATTGCTTTGTGCATATACTTAAATATATATATATATATATATATATAAATATATATATATATATATATATATATATATATTTATATATATACTTCTCAGTGTGCTCATTTGTCCGGACAAAAGGACAAATGGTATGTTAATTAATGCTTTAGTTCATGTTTGTTACCCAGCTGCTTTGAGGAAATTATAATATTGTGTGCAGTATGTGTATTTGATTCTGATATTGCAAGAAATGCTGAAAGGAAACAAGTAGTTGTGTTCACCAACCTATTCCCATATGGGAGATGGACTCCAGCTCTTTGTGGGATGATGCTTTTGCAATTGCTTCTGGAAGCTCCAGAGGAAAGCGTAATACATCTCTGATACACAGATAGTACATCATATTTATTAAACATTGTTGCAGGACAATAAATATTGACAGAGACCAACGCACAGATGAAATGAGGAATACAAGGAAAAAGAGAACGAGGAAGACAAAATGTTACCTGCTGACACAGTAGAAGGAAACGAGTCTCGGGAGATCTGGAAAGCTGATGCCTGAAGTCTCCAGAGACAGAGCTGAGAGGAACATTTAAGGGGATTTTTAGAGGGGCAAAACATTATTTGAATGTAGCCATGTGTAAATACTGCGTAACAATGAAGAAAAACTGTGTTAAAGGATCCAACTAGAAGCCTTTCAATTTGATTTATCATATTTTCAATGTATTATTGAGTTCCTGAATTCCTGGGACTTGCAGGAGGCTAGGCCTAGTTAAATACAACAATTCAAATTCTCCATTTTCACTTTTGTAACTGTGAACATGTGTAAACACATAAGTCCTTCTTTAACCAGAGCAAAGTAGTATCTTATTTCATGCAATAATAAAACGATACATGACAACTAGCTTATTCAACCCGAAACATTCTTGACATTTTAGCATACAGGTGAACTACTAAATTGTGTTCCAAAGAAGGGCCCCAGTCTTGACGGCTTTGTGGTTGGGGTGACCTACTATTACTGGAGTCTTGCTGCCTGATGCCAAACTGCTGGACGAAGGATGGCACACTATCATCCGTCAGGCGGACGCACAGCACGTTTCTTTGGGAAGTTCGAGACTTGCGCACCAGGAAGGTCTGCAGGAAAACACAAGTGCATGCAAATGGTGAGTGTGTATGTGGGCACATGGTGTATTTCTGTGGTTTTAAGTGTGTGTAGCACTGACCCCAGGGGGCTCCCTCTGCAGTATGTGCAGAGCGGTAGCAGGGTTGATGGACAGCTGAAACCACACAGGAACTGTGAGAAGGAGCCGGTCCAGAACACTGATGCTTTTCAGAGAGGCCCTTCCTCTTTGAAGGGCCAATAACTTGCGCTCCGAATGTTGAGCAGGCTCCGGGAAATCATACAGCGGTTCTTCTTGTGCCATCTAAATGCACCAAAAAAAAGAACACCCATGGGTATTAATTGTCCTGCTACTGAATCTGGGAATATGCACCCACACGTGTATTGTATGGTGGTTATTATCTCTCCCTGTGGCTCACATTCACAATGGGAAGATGGGTGGGACACACACACACACACACACACACACACACACACACACACACACCACACACACACACACCACACACACACACACACACACACACACACACACACACACACAACACACACACACACCACACACACACACACACACACACACACACACACACACACACACACACACACACACACATAGTAAATCTGCCTGGATTTGGACAGCAAGTCTAGACTTGGTAAAGTTCAGCAGCTTAGACCGAGCTTAAATAAAACAGGGAGCTACATGAAACACATTTTTAAAATATAGACACACAAATGCCAATGACGACGTAACATACAACATCTTTAAACATTTGTTTTTAGAGTAGCAGGGAAATTGTTGGTTGAAGAGAATACCTCAGGAGGTAGTCTATCATTTGCGTTTTGTTTCACTATTCAAGTCTCACCCCATGCAGCCTACATGTTAACAACTGTCTAGATCCGCAGCACACATTCCTGTAAAACTGCACATTTCCTCTCAAAACTGTGATTTACAAACAGTCTTCCGGCTTCACCTATAATTGCACAACTTGTGTGTAGGCTACTAGAGTGTAATTTTAATATCGCCAGGCTCGTTTTTTTTTACCTCGTTTCCCCGATCGTTATTCTCATTCGCTCCGGATCCACTTTATGTTGGCATGCTGGTTTTATTCTTCCATTCCATTACTTCACTACGGTGAAAACTTCTCTTCCACTTTGGCCTGTCATGACGTGTGTTCTTCTCAGATGCGGAGATGTCTCTCTCCGGCTCCTCCTCCCCTCCCACCTGATCACACCTGGAAACAAACATGTGACCACGCATGAATGGGCCACAGCTACACTCACGTGCACGAGGCTGTATTATAGACTTAGGCACAAGGAAGTATTTATAGACTAGCAGGAGTTTCATTAAGGTGAAAACCTACTAATAATCATATTTGTAAAAATAACTTGTTAAGCTTAGTACAAGTAGCAAATATCATATTGTAGAAAAACAAGTCATGCATTCTCAATGTTAATTAAGTAAAATAACACACTATATTACCATTAAATTATATTTAAAGTAAAGATAATCATTATGCAAAATGTTAAGCTTCATTACAATATTGGATAGAGTTTGACTGTGGTTGAATAACTTTGCATAGGGTATAATTATGTATTAAACACAATTGAATTACATTTGTTTGCCTATTTGTTTAGGTATAGCCTATTGTGTGTTAGGGTTAGGATGACCTATATGACCCTATATGACAAATCAAGCCTTTGAATCAAGGTTGCAGTTACTTAAAGATTTGGCTTTATGTTTCTAGTTGACTTGTGAATTCCTCTTTTGGGATCCCTTTATCAATTTCAATTCAATTCAATAGCTTTATTAGCATGACCATATACAGTATTGCCAAAGCTCTGTGCAACATCTATACAAAAATACACACAAATAAACAGTTATAAACAAACTGCTAAGAACATTTATTTTGTTTTTACAAGGAATACAGATTAATTTAATTCATAATACAAAATAGAATATGATAAGATACGATGTAAGACCTGGTGTATCTGCTCATTCCGATTCCCTCAAACTGTGGCAGGCAGAGACAAACTGTCCTGCAACAATGCAGCTCTCTTTATATTCCCCGAGAAGTATTTTTATTTTTTCATTTTTAAATATTTGAGGATGCTTATGATTGAGTTTTGAGAAGAATTGTTTCCGTATAGGTTCAAAAGTGATGAAGTGCTGCTCTCTCCACATCAGTTCCTCCACATTTATCATTACGATTGTACCCAATGAACTGTAACCTATTTAATATTTTTACTTAAGTACAGTACTTGAGTTAATGGTATTATAGTCTTAAATAAGTAGTTTTACTTCTAGGCTAAGGCTTCATCCCCATCTTGCGCAAACCTGATGAAACTGCGCCCTAATGGCTGCAAGCGCACCTAAAGAAACCGGAGCCGGAAGTGACGTATGAAATATCGGTTAGAGCTCCAGCGCCGCGTTGGGTAAGAATTCTGTTTTTAATGCTATGCTAGCATAATTATGAAAATGTAAAATGTAAGACGCACAATGATTAATGGTATTTAAAACACTTTACGATGGATCACACCGATGATTGAGCTCTAGCTTAGACAATCGTTTTCAATCACTATGATGGAATCACTACGTTAGCATTAGCTAGCTTAGCGTAACTACATCGCCAATGTTTGCTTTTCACAAAATGGCCAGCCGTGTCCGTAGTTTTTAGCAAACTGTTGGTCTTGTACAGAAGCTTACATCTTACAATAAAACCAATTATGGGTATTTATTGTAACATAAGCTGTGTTATCGAACAGAACAACTATACAGCAATATTTTTAACCTAATTGGAGGAGATTTCACCGCAGCTTTATTAGCCTAACGTTTGTTAATATTAACCGGTAAGCTAACGTCAATTAGCTATTTACCAGATTGCACCACAGTAAATCAGAGCTAACCGAATTTGGCAGTATCACTGCCATAATTAACTTAACTATGATCAAAATGCAATACTGCTGTTGAGATTCACTAAGCCTTAGTTGTGTAAAGTAAATGCATTTACACAGTACACTACTTGTATTCAATTATAGTACTTTACTTGAGTATTTACATGATTTGCCACTTTGAACTTCTACCCCACTACAATTTAGAGGTTAATCATATACTTTTACTCCACTACATTTATGTTGTATCTTAAGTTACTTTGCAAATGTTGATTAATAATTATTGCATCAGTAATTTTAATCAAAACGTACTATATAATTGTCTTCAATGGGCCAATCTGCATAATGATTACTTTCACTCTTGATACTTTGTGTATGTTTTGATGCTAATACTTTTGTACTTTGACTTTTGAGTAACCTTTCTAATGCAGAACTTTTACTAGAGACAGAGTATTCCCATACTGTGGTATTACTACTTTTACTTAGGTACAAGATATGAGTACTTCTTTCACCTCTGCTAAGCCTGAACAATTACTGCTACCCTAAGTATCACATTTAACCAAAGCCTGCTGCTGTGTTATTATTTTCTTTCTTTCAGATGCCTGGTTGATACAGAGATGAGCGGTGACAATGTGAAGTTGTTTGTGGGGAACCTTCCTTTAGATGCAACTCACGACGAGCTGACCAAGCTTTTTTCTCCGTTTGGAGAGATCAACACCTGCTCTTTGCTCAGACAGTATGCCTTTGTTACCCTGAAGGGAGAGGGGGCAGCAGACAGGTATTTAACTTTTCATTACCACTACTAGATATTAGTCAATAAATGCTACTTTAGAAATGCTCTTGCGTGGTCCGGGGTATAAAAAAAAAAGTGAATAATTATTACGGTAAGTATAGACATTGGTTTAAGTAACCATTTGATACATCATTTTTCAAGTAAAGTATAAAATCCTTAGTAATATAATATCAACAACAATTAAAATGTCTGCAGTAGTACTGTTACTGTCATCGGCTGATCACCTGATGACACAAACATATGGCTTTCTCTTATTCTCACAGGGCCATACGAAATCTTGATGGCAAAGAGTACAGGGGGCGGCCCTTGGTGGTCGAGGAGTCACGTGCACGTCCACCCAACTCCACCAAAGTGTTTGTGGGGAACCTCGCTGCAACATGTTCAGCAGATGACCTGCACGGGTTGTTCTCAACCTACGGAAGAGTACTAGACTGTGACAAAGTTAAAGGTGAGTTACAGTGCATATCACTAATACTGCAGGCGTATTCATGAAAAGCTTGAGCAATGATGTTGTAGAAGAAGAATTTGTTATGTTTTCTAATGCTACCTGACCGCCCTGCTCTGTGTATTCTCTACAGCCAGATTATGCTCAAATGTTGGCTATGCATTTGTGCACATGGAGAGGAAGGAGGAGGCGCTGGTAGCTATTGAAGGACTCAACGGGACCAATTACAAGGGCCGTCAGTTGGCTGTAGAACTGTCCAAAGCCCAACCTTTGATCAACCAGCTTGCAATGGCTGGAAATAACCACGGTGGATCAGGTAGAGATGAAAGATCCATTTGTTTTCAAGTGTTTTGCATACATTGAAATGCTGAAAACATCCCATATCCTCTTGTCCTCTCATCTTTTGTGCTCCCTTTTCCTTGCAGGAAGGGACGGTCTTCTTCCACGACCGCCTCCATCACTAGAGCACCACCAGAGTCAAGCAGCTGTTCTAGCAGCAGCTGCAGCAGCCGCAGCTGGACTCCCAATACAAGTACGTTTATTCTCTAGCAGAGAAACCTCTCTCACAAACATAAAACGTATGACCTCTGAAAACTGCCCTCGAGGTCTTTCTTAGATTACTTGTTTCAACTTGATCAACAACATCGACATTTTTCATTATTGTTGTGTTTTTTGTTTAGATAAATTTAGGTTTAAGTACATTTTTAATGCTTTATTTTTAATTGTTGACCGTTTTCATATTTTTTGCAGGTTCAACAAAGTGTCCATAACTCATTCTACAACACCACAACCTTTGACCCCACCTACGCTGCCTTGAAGGGCATTACCAGCGCTAACGGTGCAGATGGGGTGATCTATGATGCTCTTGCCAGCCAGGTATATGGAACTGTTGCGGACCAGGTGTACAAAGATATGTCCAATCACAATTCTGCTGCCGTAGCCCCTGTTACAGAAGCAGACTCACAGAACGGGCCAGACCCCACAACGCTTTTCGAGGCAGCAAGAGCAAAGTTCTTTCAGGAGGGACAGAAGGTATATTTACATTTATTTGAGAACAAAGTAAAATCTTCTTCTCTGTATATATCTTTGTGTTGTACCTTTACAGTTTCATGAATATTCTGTTTTTAATATAGGTTCTGGCAGAGCAGCAGATAGGGAGAAAGGGAGCAGAGAATGAGCGGGACCGCAGCCCAATCAGAGGGAATCGAGCCCCCCTTCTCCCAGACCCCGTCCCTGGTTCCTTCGGTCAGATACGGCAGAAGCGCCGCGCCCTGCTGCCGACTCCCCCCGGAGCCCCTGAAGAGTCCCCGGCTGCCACCAACACCCCTGAAGGGTCAGATCCTGTAGCTAGGTACCCATAACACATTTTGATAAAGGAATGAGGCAGAAGAAACATTTGCATAAATAATCCTGCTTCTACGTGCATGTACAATAACTACAATAGTTAAGCAATAAAAAATAAAAGTGTCAACATTATTGGATAGTGCACATCCTCCCTATCAATACAGTATAGATGGAGCTGGTGGATTTGTGCTGGTGAAGAAACTAAAGCTGATAAATTATTTAATTTGGACTATATAGCCTTGTTTTAAATGCAAAACATTTAGCAAATTTATCACAATTCAAACTATGTTACCTCTCTTTCTAAAGAAGAGTTTGAAAATATAAATGATGGCTCTCAGTGCAGTAAAACAATAATGGTGGGCAGGAAAAAAAGCTAAAAACAAACCGGGTTTGTAGAATCGTACCAAGTGCAAAGGCCTTTACAAAAACATAAAAACATGCATTCTGTCTTTTATTAATTTGATGATGGGAGTTTTGTCTAACTTTTTTATTTTCTCCTTTCTTCTTATTCCTTCCCACCTTTTTAACTACAAACTACAGGTCGTACGAAGAGTACTACCAGCAACTGCATCAGTACCAACAGTATCAGCAGTACCAGCAGCAGCAACAGTACCAGTACCTCCAGTATGCCTACACCAACCCTCCTCCTCCTCCACCACCTCCACCGGCCACCACACAGGCCTCCACCACAGCCCCTGCACCCCCAGGGACGTACTCTGCGCCCCCAACGTACGCGGCACCGGGGGCCTACCCACCGCCGGGAACATATGACGCGTCGGGAGGTTACGCTGCCCCCCCAGGGAGCTATGACGCGTCTGGAGGCTACGGCCCACCGGGAGCTTACGCTGCAGCGGGAAGCTACTCCACATCCACACCGTATGAGCAGACAGCCGCACACGGGCAACCCATGCCCCAGCGCCATGATTACCCTTACCACACGCCAGAACCCCCTTATCGATAGTCCCACTCCCATACACTTCTTCCACACTGCAGATGTGTGTGTGTGTGTGTGTGTGTGTGCGCGTGTGTGTGTGTGTGTGTGTGTGCATGTGTATCTACATAAGGGACAGTTTAAAAAGGAAAATCAGAGAGGGAGCAAGGTTGTAATTCGAATGTAATTCAGATCTAAAGCATTTTCTCCATCGTTTCTCTAGTCGGTCCGTCAGTTGATTGGTTGTGTGGTTAACTTACAGAGGGACAGCTTATATTTGAACACTGCCAAGCGATCGGGTTGTGTGAGATGCTATAGAGGCACAGTTGGTTTCTTGTTGGATGTTTAAGAAGCTTAAGCGTTTCATGGGACAAAGTGGAGTGGAGTCCAGGGTAGATCTCGTTGGAGAAGCTTTTTTGTTTTTACAGAATCGAGGCCTTTTAATATAATTTACACAAACATGTACACCAAAAAGGGGCAGTCCATAAGCCATGCAAAGTCATAGTTTCAAGTAGGGAAAACACTGATAAATTGTGATGGAGAATGTTTGTCTTTAGTTTCAGGCTGGTTTCACAGTAAGGACAGGTTTAGTGCTCGTCAAGCAATCCCAAGTAAAGATGTTGAATTTTTTATTTTAGCTCATGGAAATCTTCATAAATATCCACAACTCTTAAATTGACAAATGAAATTGATTGTTCAAAAGTCACTAAGAGTCTTGTGCAACCCTTGATGATTTTGTGATTGCATTTAGCCCGCTGGCATTGAAAGTCTTCTTGAGGCTTCGAGTGTGTGCTGAGAGGTTACAGATTACATTTGCAGTCAACACAGGCCTTCCTTTTTAATTGGCACAGTTTGCCTGACTTAAGATCAATATAACCACTCTAGTTATTCTTGTGAAGCTTTGTAGGTACAAGAGATGGCAAAGTTTGACCCTGACTTTGACAACTACAAGATAAAAAAACTTTGGATGTAACAATTTCAGCGATTGACATCACCTGGGTGTTCTCTTGGATAGGTTTTCCACAGTTTAGGCCTAGCCCAGGCTTTTTAGAAGTCTACACCCTCAGGAGTTAAATGCATGTATCCTGTCAGGGTTTGACACCAAAACATTAGAAAATAATATCTAAATATGTTTCTAGTCCTTAACATTATTCAGGTAATACTCAGTTAAACCCTCACACGAGGCGTTGTGTTCAGTACATATTTAAATTTGTAAAGGCCAGAATTACAGCAAGCTTTGATTGGCTGACGATGGATATGAGCATTATCAATTCTATAATTCCTGATTGGTTTCTAACTTTTAATGTTATAAACTTTTTTTCCCAATATCATCAGCTTGGTAGTTTTCATACATAGAAATTCACAATTTGGTACTTTTGTAAATACATACAACTTTGTTTTAAGTGGAAGGGGTAAAGCCAACTAGCATTTGGTTGATTGGTAAGAATATTGACTATTTATATTTGAGATAAAATGATTGTATTTCTAAACCAGTTGGAATAGTGAATAGACGTGGTGAAGGAAGACCGCTGAGTTGTGTTAGTCAGTTCAAAAGGACTGAAACCTAAAGCATTACGGTTATCCGATTACAGTCCTGATTGGTATTCGGCCGTTGTGGCTTGTGAGTGTATAACTAATTGCGCTCCAAGATCAGACATTGCATACAATTAGAAATGATTTGATACGCCTATAATGCGTTGTCATGTTGCTGAAGTGACTCGTGTGGGTTATTGACAGTGGACAGTGTTGGTGCTGCAGGTAAACGCAAGGGTTGTTTTGGATTTAGTAAAGGCCACTGATTTGACTGAGCAGCAGTGAGAAGGGGCCGCGTCCCTTTCCCTTTCCCCCTTCTGATCTCACCAGAAACACACACCTCATTTTGAAACTAGGAGTACTGGCTTTCTCTGCATTCTTACCACACTACACAACTTCACACTTGTATTTAGATGCATTTAAAATGGGTTCATAGCATTTTACTCATGTAAAGCAGGCCACACGTGCAAATGATACTAATGCACACCTGTTTGCAGCTGTATGTCATGTGACTTGGAGTAGAACGGTTTGTGATTGTACCACACACTCATTTCTTTATCGCCACCTGACTTGGTAGTGCTGTGTTAGGTTTAAGTGACACATAGCCTCTCTAAATGTCCACATAATTCCACCAATCTCCATGTGAACTGTTAGTTGCATGCCTTGTTGTTGCTGCTGCTCCAGCCACCTTCTTCCTCTTGCTGATTATTGCAGCTAGAGTGGGAGGGAGCCAAACTGAGCCCTTGCCCCGGACGTACGCCACACGCAGCTGTAGCGTGGGATGGGAAAAACAGCAGCGTTAGGCCTGAAACTGCTGTGGACGATGGGGTGTCCCCCCACTAAGGTAAACACTCAGACCACACACTCCTGTCCCTCCCCGAAAACACACAAACACACACACGCACACATACAGAAACATCTTTGTCCATACTTTTACCTTGCCTGTCTTCAGGGAGTTTTGTTTGTCAGGATTTCAGATTTTTGGAAATGGATCTCCCCCATCCTTTTTTAATAGGAGATTACCTTTTTTCCTGCTTTTGATATCCCTGATCATATCACTGCTTTAGGATACTATGCTCATACATTCCTGCTCCCGACATACTGACCGCTCACACACAGCAGATTTGGAGGACACGTTAACCATCTTTTAGTCTAAATCTGAAGCAGGCATGTCGTCAGTACATCCTGAATATAACAGCCTGTCATTGAACTACCAGGCAATCACAGCCAGAGCTGGACGCGGGACATTTAGGTAGGATGGGTTGTTTTTGTAAATGTGCCCCTGCGGCCACTTTGGGGTTAAGTGCCTTGCGTAAGAGCACATAGGTAAGCCCTTCATTTCAGAGTTGAATAACCTGGCTCAGGATCGGTTGCTGGTTCAACGCTCAACTCCCCCCTCTCCCCTAAAACAACGATTTTTGATGCCACATTCAACTTGTATGAATGACAATGAACACAGATATTATCATTTTGTTTTAAATTACATTTTGTCCTTATGTTCTTGGAAATGTTTAATTATCAATAAATACATTTGAACTGAATTGTAACCTCTCCGTGTGAATATTTAATGGGTTAGTGCGTGATTACCAGCTTGTTCAAGTATTTTAACTTTAAGTGTTTGTTGAATAGTCACCAAATAACTATAAGAGCTCAGCATCAGATGACGTTTTATTCCATTTTCTTCCAAAAACATCAACCTATGCTTTTAAAATAAAAAACAATAATTTGATAACAATCCAAACTTGTTGGTAATTCAATCACTTAGATATACAAAAAGAAAAAGAGAAGAAATTCAAGAAATGGAACCTCCCTCCCTGCTAACGACATTTTCATGGACACTGCTGAGTTTCATGCCCTCAACAATCAACAGTTCACAGATGGACACTAGAGTACAGGATGTGCGTAGTGAACGCAGTATACACAATACTGAGGTTATGTGGTGAGTGTGAAACTGCATAGACATCATGTGCCTTTCCCTGGCCAAACAACACGGAAATGCAGTTTCTGCTCTGATGACAAGCAATTCTGGTTTCCAGACGCCGGATTTTCATTGAAGTAGCTTCAGTGTCTATATTTTGGCGTTCCCTGTTGAGTATCTGCAAATACTTGAGCCAGTCGATAAGGTAATGAGAGTCTATGATGGAAAACACTAAGCAACCCAATGAAGTCTAGCTACTAGGTCCATAATGTAAAACTAGAGTGTAGTGTAAGTATTGTGTGCGCTGTAGATTGTGGAGTGGAAAACTCCTTTTGATCACAGATCATTTATGGGAGAACATGTACTTTCTCTAACATACTCACCTGTTTAAGCTAATCTTCTTAAAATATGCTTTAAGGGAATCCAACCCCAGATTAAATATTACAGTTTCTGTCTCTCCCTAATGCTGTTTCCTTTACATTAATTTAGCAGGGGTGAACATGTAAGGATAATTAAAGTAGTGCCTGTGTGTTGGCCGAAGTATACAGACTCGTAACTGACAGACATTTGGGATTTTGTACCCATCTGGAATTGGGTTAGAAACCATGTCATAGATCTCATAAACAAGGTCTGTACACTTTAACCTGGTTTGCTAAAATACTCTCAAAAATAAAGCTGAAGCTATCTGTGAATCCAAGCCTGGTATCAGGAAACCAGTCCGTGCTTTCAGAGGATGACTGGGATAAGTCCAGTTGATGGCGACAGACAGGACAAGACTGGGCAAACACGTTAAAAACACCACACAATGTTGACCAGACCAAACACATAGTACAGTACTTAGACTTTCAATCACAACCTCCAGTGATGCTGCTGGCATAGTATGAAAAAGGAGCGAGCATTCAAACACACGTATTGAAAATAGCAACGCTTTAATAAAGAGCGATTTTACAAGACTGCAATGTCTAGCTAGCTAGGTGATAACTGGCATTGACATCCATGGTGTTTTACAAAGATGCAGTTATGGTAACTGGGTTTGAAGTTTGATGGGTTACTTGCAAGTTGCAATTCTGCATGCGACGCAGCCTTCAAACAGTTACAGACCCTACATTGTAAAACAGTTGATTATGAATGTCAATAAACGTTCATGTCAAGAGGTAAGTAAAAAATCTCATGGAGAAATTTCCTTAACGTTTTCCAAACACACCGGTAAGTGAGAGTTCACACAATGGTCATGCTTTTACCGGGCACACAAGCCAATAAAAAGACGACACTTAATCATGCAAAAAAGACAGTTTCTTTGTCTCTAAAAATAAAAGAACAAAATCCTTTTGAGTTCTGATATCATCCATCCGTAGTGACCTTGAATAAGAAGAAGCTGCGCTTTGATGATGACTTTGGTGCAAAAAAATGTTCCTGTTTCGAAGAGGACAGACCCTGTCCTGTCCACTTCCTCGATGAAGACACTCTTGGTATAGACCAGTTGTGATAGTTTACCCTCGACCCCCCCCCTCCCACTGACCCCCACCCCCTTCCTCCTCAAGATGGACACAAACATCACAAACATCAAAACCCACCCCCCACCCATCCCTGGATGATGACACCTTCAAAATACAACCATTCAAACACAGATACAGCAATAAATTGTCCAACGTACAGTACGTCATCCAATGGGGCTTCGATCACTTTACAGAGAGAGCACGTCTAAAAACACATGAACGCATTACCTATATACAGAGGACACAGTAACAGTCAGAGGTTGGCCCAGGATGGATCGAGCTGCATCGTGGGAGTGAAGTGCACAATGAAAGAGCATTCAGCTGACAGAGAGAGACAAACATTGGGACAAGGAGTAGTAATGGAGGAAAGTGAAACAAAATGTTTTCAAATGACATATCCAAATGTCAGCTGGCCTCTTGTTGAGAAACTTCAGAGAATATCTGCCAGCTTGGTGACGAATTCTAACACTGAATTCTCTGCTGGTATTAGACTGGTAACTCAAACGCTAGCAGTTACAGATCAAGGATGAACTGTAACAATACACCACCATACCGACACAATTCTCTGACCATTTTTGTGAGAAATCACAAGTATGTGATGCTCTCTGGAGAGTGACGCCTCAGATTTACTTTGAGATTCAAGGTCTGATGACTTTAGGGGCTTTTTCTTGCATTTTTGCAGCAGATGAGTGATCCTTGGTGCCACCTTAATTTGATGGTGGCTGGGTTGAACAGACTGAGACACGGTCACAACAACACTCATTGCTAAGTTAGTACACACTACCAGCTGACTAAAGACCTTCCTCTCTGACTGAGAAACATGACCCTGTTAATCTCTATGGGAAGGCATGTGCACATAAACACACATACAGTACATGTACATAGAACAGACAGAATCAATAGAAAACAACTTCATCCCCAATCGATTATTGCCCCTTTCAACTGTACATCCCAGCAATGGTTTTAGGTTTTTGTGCAGCAGAGCGTTGTCCCCTGTTTGAAGGTTTGTGCTATATATGTATTTATATCGTCTGTCTGTGGGTCTAACTTGACCTTGGATCTGACAGAATAACAACATTAACATTTAACGTCTCATTAAACCCTAACGTCTCTGGCTGTCTGAATTAACCAGTTTGTCGTCACTGCAGGCATTACTAGGGTCATGATCGACAGACGTTACCCTCAGTCGCTTTACCGCAGTCTCGTCCTCATTCGACTCCTCCAACTGACCTCTTGCTGTTCAGTCCATACATGTTAACACTACATTAACAAGCCCCTCTGTGGTAGCAGAGCTTTCAATTCCTCCAGGTGGAGGTGAGACATCTGCTCCTCTAATAACCCTTATCCAGTTTTTCACAAGAGACTCATTTTTAACAGGACAAATGCTCAGGACAGGGAGGAAATCATAGAGTTGGGAGTTAGACCATTTGTGATTGGCAAGACTGACTCTTCATACTAATATCCAGCCGCCTCTCGATCTGGCTCTCAGTGCATTTTTCACTACTTTTAGAGCAGTACAGGTTTAACACAACAGGTTAGGAAACAGCGATCTATACATAAAACGGATGTGGACACACAACAACACTACAGCAGGAATCAGCTTTCTAAACAGCCTAAAGACGGGGGGGGGGGGGAGACAGTAACAAGATTGCATGATACTGTATTGCACAGCTGTAGAGGAGAAAAAACAGAACGTGTGTAAAGCACGAACCCAAGTAGCAAAGTTAGAGTAGGAGGTTTGTTTACATCCAAATGCGATGCATGGGTCTGGCTCAGTGCTTTCGTTAGTAAGTTCCAGTGCAGTAACACATTGGTACCTGGCAACACAGTAATGACATTAGGTACCAAAAGAGAAACACATACATTACACACCCTACACAGCCACACACACACACACACAAGCACGCCCACGCTGCATTGTTGATGTGAAGTTGGCAATTAAGAACAAATGGAGCTCATAAAAAGACTGAGACGATAATGTTGATGCAGCACATTAATATGTAGAAAAAGGGACACGCACACACGCATTCAAATCAATTACTACTGACATCAGGTGATGGATGACACACTACAGGGAACCAATCTGAACAAGATGCGAAAATCACCTACACGGACATACACCCTTGGCAAAGTTCACATTGAGTAAAGTGCCAGCAAACAATCCAATCAGAGAAAGATACGCCTGTCCTCAGAGTTTAAAGTGGGAACGTCTTTATACAGGAAATTATCGGGATGAGGAGGTCAGGAAGTGGCCGTAGAGCTTCTGCACTTCCATAGAGCTGTCATCACAGGTCATAATGGCCGTTTGAATTGGCAAGTCAAACAGAGGATGAGTGGAATTGATGCGGAGCTTCTCGCGCCCCAGTCAAAGACAGAGAGATCAGTAGCCACCCGGAGAGAGGAGATAAGATGGTGAGGAGACATGGAAACAGACATCAGCATTTCTTCTTTCATCCGTCTTCTCTCCATCTTCCTTTCCCCTCTCTCTTCCTCTCTGTCTTCCTGTTTCTTTCTCCGCCTCTGGATTTGTTGTCTTCGCCTCTTTCTCTCTCCATCTCTTCTCTCTCTCTCTCTCGGCTTTGCTGCCATGGTTACAACATCATCCTTACATGAAGTGCATCTGCAGAGGACGGGATCAGAATGGAGAGTAATTTAGTGCGACAAAACACCTCAAGTGTTCAGGCATCTACTGACAAGCAGATTACCTGCCGCAGTGCTGGGAAAACATCTATTCATGGGGAGAGTGCTCAGTAGGCAATTATATTACTCAGTTTTGTTTTGAATAATTGGTCAAAAATATACGTGTTGTTTTTCTGTGAGTCTTGTGGCCATGCCAACTGATGAAAACCCGCTGTGAAAAGCACTTTCTTCACAATGGTCCATTATGAAAAGACAACATGTTTGTTCCTACTTCTGGAAGGATCCACAATTTTGGCATTACTTATCAGTTGTTAGTAAGCTTTAATTGAACGCAAAATACGATTACAAAATGAATACTTTTTTATGCTTAACAGATTTATGCTACGATAAGCTAACTGGCTGTAGACTTAAGGTGTCTTAAGTGTTTTAACTTGCGTGACGCTGTGCATATTAGCATTGAGATTCTCCTAAGGTCAAATGGAGGACT